ATTAAAAAAAAATATTTCTAAATAATCATTTTTGGAATAAAGGAAGCCGAGTGCAATTCGGCTTAAACGCATTAATTAATAAAAAAATTGAAATTCTCTGTTTTCTAATAAATAAATTGCTTTCTGACATTTTTAGTCAAAAATTTAGGGATATAATAATTAGCAACATTTGGTGAGAAACAAAATGTCAATTAAAAAATAATTTATTTCTAATTAATCATTTTTGGAATAAAAGAAGCAGAGTCCAATTCGGCTTAAACGAATTAATTAAGAAAAAATTGAAATTTTCTGTTTTCTAATAAATTGCTTTCTGACATTTTTAGTCAAAATTTTAGGGGTATAATAAATACCAACATTTGGTAAGAAACAAAGTGTCAATTAATTTCTAATTAATCGTTTTTGGAATAAAGGAAGCAGAGTGCAATTCGGCTTAAACGCATTAATTAATAAAAAAATTGAAATTTTCTGTTTTCTAACGTTTTTAGTCAAAATTTTAGGGTATAATAATTACCAACATGAGAAACAAAATGTCAACTAATTTCTAATTAATCGTTTTTGGAATAAAGGAAGCACTGTGCAATTCGGCTTAAACGCATTAATTAATAAAAAAAAATTGAAATTTTCTGTTTTTTAATAAATTGCTTTCTGACATTTTTAAAATTAATTAACCATTTTTTGAATAAGGGGAGAAGAGTGCAATTCGGCTTACACGCATTTAAGTAATAAAATTTTTTTTAATTCTCTCGTTTCTATTAAATAAATTGCTTTCTTTACCAACCTTAGAATCATAGTCACTAGATTTTCAAAATTAACATCAAAATTTGAAATTTTGAGCGTTTTGTAATTGTTTGAGTGCAATTTTTTTGTGTGAAAATTAGTAGTAACTGAATTTCCAAAAACACGTTAAACAATAATTAAGTTTTATATGAAAGAATATTTTTTAATGACCCCCAATTCGCTTATTCACATGCAGCTGGGGATTTCTGCGCTGAATCCTACTACAGCTCGCAAGAGTCCCTCTACAGCCTAAACAGTTGCTTGGTGTTCACCCCCCCTGCCACGAAACCAAAAAACAACGTATTTTTTAGCTCCGATGATACTCTTTACAAGAAAGAAACGCGCAAATTCACCATTCCTCGAATCGAAGTCGAGAGTGATGAACCGGTTTTTAATCTCCAAGTGACTGATTTTTCCGAACCATCCCCTAAAAACATAATTCTGGGATACGACGAAACGGGTACCAACTTTGAAACGAAAAAAGTCGAAGAATTCACATCAATCAATAACAAATCGTGGAAAGACAAAGCGAATAATTTCGTGCAACAGAAAAGCTACTCGATTGACATTCCTGAAAATCAAATCGATATTGAGCAAGTTGGCGACACTGATAAGTTTCTAAGTATAAGTAAAAAGGCGCGCCAATTGAAATTGTGCTCATCGTCGTTGCAGGATTTGTCGAGTTCGACGTCGAGTATTAACAGTGGGGTGCACGAGTCGAATCTGGATTTGAGTCATATTATTGATCCAGACACGCCTATTAAGCACAAAAATTGGAAATCGCCAGACGAGGTCCGGTTTGGACAAGTTGAAAACCAGAGATATGAGAGCAAAGCGACGAGTTTTCCCGATTTGTCTGAGAGTAAATCCTGGGGGAATAAAAGCAAAAGTGTCAGTGAGGAGAGATTAAATGAGAAATTGACAGAGTATGAGAGACTGGAGCTGTTGAAATTGTTGCACGATTGGAGCTTGAATGGATCGTATTCAAAAAGCGATTTTAATATACGCTTAACGAAATCGTCTGAACACCTCGAAAAGGAGAATCTTGAAACGTCCGAAAAAAGTTTGAGACGAAGCAGTGTTAAATTTAGTTCAGAACCGAATTTATCCCCAAAACTTGACATAATTGTTAAGTATAGTTCAGAGAATAGTGTCGATTTGATGCACAAATGTGAATTTCGCAATTGCATTTTTAACGAGGACTTTGGTAAAGTTAGTAAACCGAAGAGTATTTTGAAGAATAGTAGAGAACGTCTACAGGAAACCGAGTGTCTTAATAATCTAGCAAACCAAAAAACACCAAAACTGGGCCCAAATTCTCGCCGCTACAGTGAAATAATCGAACCAAAATCGTTCAATAGTCAATTAGTTCGTTGCGATAGTCTGGAACGCTTAACTCACTTAAATAAGAAATCTAGGGGTAATAAGAAGTTCCCCGATTCGTATATAGTCACACGACGCAATAAAAACTCGCCAAAAAAGTCCCCGAAAATCATCGTGTTGAAGCAAAAGTACTTGCCAAAGACGTGGAAAAGCTGCAGCGATATAAAACACCGAAAAACGGTGCGAAAATGCTGCCGTTATGCGAAAAAAAATTGCCCGATTTTGCGAAACTCATCGGAAACGTCGCGGAAAAGCCAGAGTTGCGTGGACATCGAACGGGATTTTGCTGCTAGGTTAGCTGGGGATTTCCAAGTTGGCGCTTTTGATTGTAAGAAGTGGCTTCCAATGTAGCGCACGAGTTTATTTTTTATTATAATTTATTTTATTATGCAAGCGTTTTTCTTAGCCCAGTCAAATTAGACAAATCGGTGGGAAAAAATCCTAGAGAGTTGGAATTTTTTTAAACGCTTTCTTTACACTTGAGTAGACATATATCAAAAATCCTCGAAGACGGGGGGCGAGCTCGAGGAGGGGAAGGGGGTTAAAAGTGTCTTTTTTTGGTTTTTTGCTTATATCTCGGAAATTATCACTCCTATAGGTTTTTATCGTCTTAGCAAAATTAAAGCCTATAAAATTTCCTACAAAAATGGTCCTTTGCATTTTTGTTGTAGAAATAACCGTAAGCGAGTAATAGAGCAGACAAGAAACATCATTTTAAAAAAATGTGCTTTATCTACATTTAAAACAGAATTAGTCTTGTATTTAAAAAAAACTGACAGTAAATTGAATTTACTGTGTCCAATACTTCATTAAAGGAAGGGGGAGTCACGAGAGTCTATAAATACAAACTCATCGTTTATGTAATTTATGCAGAATTTTCTACAAAAATGATCCTATTCATTTTTGTCGTAGGACTCGTAGGCTTTAAAAGTTTTGAGTCTACATAAAATTGCATTAAAAATCCTTTGAAACACATTTCATTAGTATATGGTAACTATTTATACAGGCTGTATTATGAAAAACGCCCCAAGCCATAACTCTATTATTTTTGAAGTTATAACAATACTTCTTAGAACAAAGTTGAACATTTTTTGTCATCTATCGTTTAGGATAGATTAATGCCGTTTTCTGTTTCACCGAAAATCACATCAACTTTATTTTTTTTTAATGGAACACCCTGTATATTTTATCACTTGGATTCTTTGTTTAATTGTTTTTTAAAAAGTTTTAGTACCATATGCCTAAAATTAACTGTTCGTGAGATATTCACCAAATAATGTATTTATTAAAGTAGGCAGTGGAAAACAATAATATCAAGTAATGTTGACAAATATTATTCTTTTGCATTTTTTCTTGTTGTTTTTATACTTTTTAATGTTAATCATGGATGATAATGTGTTAACAGACACATTTTGAATAAAATAAAAATTGTGGGAGAGCACTACGCTTTTACACTGGGTGATTTCTGATGAGAAACGTTCCAAATCGACGAAAATTTAAGCGACTTAAAGAAAATTTGATCTCCAATTTCAAAGAGATACAGAATTAGATAGGTATTGAAGAAAATGCAAGAACATGAATACAAGAAATTGCAAGTAACGTTGGCTTATCGCACGCAACTGTTCAAATTTGGGTTTTCTAAAAACCCCAAACATCCTCAAATTTTCTTCAGGTCGACGAATTGGAACTTCTTTTATTGGAAATCGCCCAGTGTAAAGGCGTTGTGGTCTCCAACTATTTTTATTGCTTTCAAAATATTCTTGAATCATGTCTGTTAACACATTATCACCAGAACACCAAAAAGTATAAAAATAATAAGAGAAAATGCAAAGTAATAATATTTGTCAACATTACTTAATATTATTGTTTTCCACTGCCTACTTTAATAAATTTTTAATTGACTCATATCTCACGAACGGTTGGTTTTAGGCACATGGTACTAAAACTTGTTAAAAGACAATTAAACAAAGAATCCAAAAGTGGTAAAATACACAGGGTGTTTCATTAAAAAAAATAAAGTTGATGTGATTTCCGGTGAAACAGAAAACAGCATTAATTTAGTATCTATCCCAAACGATAGATGACAAAAAATGTTCAACTTAGTTCTAAGAAGTATTGTCATAACTTTAAAAATAATGGAGTTATGGCTTGGGGCGTTTTTCATAATACAGCCTGTATGTGTAGAGCGTTACCCAACTAAGCTGGTCTGCCTGAAAGGTGACTCGGGTCTAAACATTTAAACGGAGATATAAATAAAAATTTTGGATGAAAGAGAGAATCAATCTGTAAGGGGGGTTAAATGGGGTGTAAATGTTTAAACAAAGATATAAACATACAATTTTTTAGAGGTGTAAAGGGGCACTAAAATCAGATTTTTCGAAAATTAGTTTTTAAGGGAATAAAACGGTGTACACATTTAAAGGGATATAAAAACATTAAATTTAGAAAATATGATCCTTACAGAGTGTAGAAGTGCACTTTTCAAATTTTAATGAAATAAAATACAGTTTAAACGCTTAAAAACAAAATTAGAAACATGAAATTTCGAATTTTGAGAGTGCAGAAGTGCCCTGAGACGACACTTTATGAAAATCAACATTTAATATTTATCCATAAACATAGCCCATGCAAAGAACGAGACTACTATAACTGAATCCTATACATAACATAGGTAATTATCTAGCTTTATAGAGTGCCTAAGCCTATGGAATGGTTTTGTAAACGGACTTTTTTTCCATTTTATATCAGAAATACACGCGGACAAAGTCGCAGGCAAATGCTAGTTCAGCATATAAGGATGACTCGGAAGACTTAATAGACCCTCGTGGCACCTTTTAATAAACTGTTGGATCAAATACATTCAATTTTCTGTAAGCTTTATTCAAATAATCGATATTAAATCATCTATTTATTAATATTGTACTGAACAAGACTGTAATTCGGTTTTCAATGTTTAAGTTGAAGACGAAGATGCAGCATGTCAGGAGGCCTCGGAAGACTTTATAGACTCTCTAATGAAGTGTTGCACCCAAAAAATTCAATTTGCTTTCAGTTTTTTCAAATCACAAGATTAATTCTGTTTTAAATGCGGATAAAGCACATTTTTTAAATGATGTTTTTTGTCAGCCCTATAACTCGCTTACAGTTAGTCCTACAACAAAAATGCAAAGGACCATTTTTCTAGGAAATTTTGTAGGCATTAATTTTGATAAGCAGGCAAAAACCGTTAGGAGTTATAGTTTCCGAGATATAAGCAAAAAAAAACAAAAAAAGACAACTTTAGCCCCCTCCTCCTCCTCGAGCTCGCCCCCCACCTTCGGGGACTTTTGATATATGTCTACTCAAGAGTAAAAAAAGCGTTTAAAGAAATTTCAACTCTAGGATTTTTTTCCACCGATCGCCCTATTTTTGTCTAATTTGATTGGGCTATCTATGTTGTGTTTGTTTTTAAGTTTGTTGGTTTGTGATTGGTGGATTTGTTTAGGTCCTCGACGCATGTCTGAACGCGATCTGCCATCGAGGGTGGACTCAGAACGCACGATTCCCTCTTCGAAATCCGTTCCGGCTCTTCATCACATTTCACCAAATTCGGAGCAACCTCGGAATTCTCACGACGTCTTCAATCCGGGTTATAGTCGGACCTCCTCCAATAATAGCATTAATACGAATAGTGCACCGCCGACGAATGGACCTGTCAATAATCAAGCGGGTTTGCGCAGCAGGTCCACGCATAATCTGCATCAGCAGGATGGGGGATTCTACCAAAATCTCAGCGTTTATAGGAACAAAATCCCCAGTCCCCAGCAATTAGGAGACAGGTAAAAAAGCAAAACTCTTCAAAGGCAAAAAACTAGTTAAAATTTTTAAATCGCTGTCATAAAAACTCAAAAATCATTAAACTGATGGAAATGTTATTTTCTTATTGAGTAATTCCACGCCAAAATGATCATTGTTTCCGATTTTCGGAAATTTGAGACACATACAGGGTGAATATAAAGTATGGAACCAAGCGGTTTTATTTTTAATCATTTGCCTCCAGAAAATAATAATTAATATAAATTAAGGTAATATAAAAAATGTGATCGTATTTTCAGTACGAAATTTTGTTTTGTTTTTGAGTATGCGATTTTTTTTGTCAAAATTGCAATTTATGTGAAAAATTTTTTTTGAAAAAATTATATATAAAGCAGATACTTGTAGCTTTTATGAGAAAAATGATTTTATAGTGGGTTGCCATTTAAAAGAATATTTTTTTTGTAGAACTCAAAAAAAAGGAAATTTCGAAAAATTTTATTGTTAAATCATCACATTTTTATAGTACTTTATCACTCATGATTTTTTTTTTTCAAAAAATAAATAGCTTAAGCTACGAAGAACTACATACATGGCTAGGGACTAAGAGATGAATCCTAAAATGTATTTTATATTGGTTTTTAACTCTCCCATCGCAACCCAAACTGACATATTTTTTATTTAACTTAAATTGAGTTGAATCAAAACTTTCAAGAATTAAACCACTCCTAACTGAAAAACAAATCAACAAAAAAAATTTTTTTTGAAATTTAGACCACTAATGAATGGACTTTTTCAACACGATGGGACACCCTGTATGTACCTTTTGGTAGTTTACAAAACATGCACGTAGATGGGTGGTTTCAAATATTTCAAATATTACGTTTTGCTATACAAAATAAACAAAACGTATGTAACCAAAAGTTTTTTTTAATTATTTGTCTTCAGATAATAATAATTAATAAAAATCAAAATGCTACAAAAAATGTGATCATATTTTGATTTAAAATTTTGTTTTGTTATTAAGTTATGCGATTCTTTTCCTTCAAAATAGCAACTTATAGAAAAAAAAATTCGTTAAAAATTGAGTAAAATCTGAATAGTCACGTTTTTCAGTAATTTATTATGAGGTACTTTAGCTTTCTGAATGTTTCTTTGAGTTAGTCGTTTTAGTCTTCTTTAATTATGTTTATATGTTACTTGTTTTGTATTATAATTTTATTATTATTTAATGTTAAGGATATTACCGTCAAATAAAGTTATTATTATCAATGAATTTTTTCAATATTTTTAAATATTGGTTTTTGAAAATTAAATGATAATAAATTATTGGAAATTATGTTTTATTTAGAACAATTTATTAATGATGGTAATTAGTATTTTTATATTTAATTTTCAAGGAAACACTACTTTCAGGCGATCTCAGAGGATTTTTTCAGCCAATTTTAAAACTTTTTGAAACTTGTATGAGATTACAGTAAAAATCTGAAGGCTTTTACATGAATTTTTGGTGAATTTTAAAAATCTGCGTATTTTTTGTTTTGTTTAAACGATATACCGTGAGATCAAATAAAAAATAAATTAGAGTAGGCGTCGATTTAATTCTACAGTTGGCAACACATTGGCTGGGAATCTGGGCTGGAAATTTTCCACACAAACTGAAAGTGAAAATGCCCATCCACCGTTTTCCTCTTGTACAGCAATAAAAAATTTCTACTCTAAAGTGAACATTATTTCAGTAAAAAGGAATAAAACTCAAACTTGTTAAAGTTTCCGCTGACATTTGATGTCAAAAATCAGAATTGCCATCTGAAGGACTTTAATCACCGCCTACTCTAATTTATTTTTTTTTTGATCGCACGGTATTTTAAATCATTTGTTAATAACAAGCTTTTGGAATACGTGCATTTACCATGTCCGTATCTATTGTTTAAAAAAAATCATTTCAAAATGTTGGTTTGTTTTTAAGATATTTTTTTTTGCTTCGAGGTACTTAATTTTGTACTTCCCTGTTTCCAATAAAAAACTGTAAAATACGTGTCACAAATTTACGAAAGTCTGAAACAATGAGATTTAAAAGTGATCGTTTTGGCGTTGAATTACTCTACTATTCTCAGTTCTTGTGTAATAAGTTTTTTGAAACAGTGTTTTTAAAGCAATCAAATTATTTCAAAAAGAGACAAAGTTAAAAATAAAGACATTTTGTCAATCATAAAAATGCTACACTCTGTATATGTCCACTATTTTTTCTTCTATAATTTTTCCACTACACTCTTAACTTTTTTCGTGATATTTTTCCATTCTTTGTGTTCTCTTCCTTTCTTTATTGACACATTTTCATACTTAATTTTTATCTCGTCCAATTTTTGTCTCCCTTCATCATTCAAAATTTTATCCTTGGTAGTATCAAATGCTGGAAAAAATATTGAAAAAATTCTTTGTTTATCCGTTCTTTAAATAAAATTTATTAAAGTTAAGCGTACGCCACTGATGTGTTCGTAAATAGTATTAGCACAGGTAGTGGAAACCATGGTATTAATTTGATCAATATGTAATTGCTCATTGCAACAATTCATAAACACCGTAAGTGGCACGGATCAAGGGGGTTTTGTCCCTAAAAAATATAAACGTAAAAAGGGTACAGTTTGTCTCCATTTATACGTGGGAAGCTGTGATAAAATTTTGTCGGTCTATTTAAGAATTACCCTGTATTTAAAAACCTTGTTTTTTTCATTCATCAAAAATTCCAAACTTTTTTAGGACTTCCGCCCTTCGAAGTTCTCAAAATTCTCTCCAGTCTTCGGTGGTGAATTCCCAGCGTCCTGCATCGGCCTACTACCCCCCGGCGATGTCAGTGACCGCCTCCCGTTCCAATCTCCACCAATCGATTCCGAATTTGAAGAGTCCCCCATCGACCCATCGAATCCATAACGAGGAAACCAGGTCCGGCTCTTACCCAAGTGTCAACAACCAACACCATCCCCAAAACTACTCGGGTCCAAACCACCCCTATTACTACCAGCGATCAGATGACCCGAACCGACCTTACAACACCCCACCAAACGTGCAACACGTCCACTCCAACGGCCAGAGACAGGATTACAACAACGTCGGCGGCGGTTTATTGCGTGAAGATATGGTGCGACAGTCGCAAAATGCCCGCCATGAGGAAATAATGAGATATTTGAGTACGAATAATGCGCGAATCAACGAACAAAATCGAGTGGAGGAAATGCGAGTGTCGAAAAGTGACGACATGTTGAAACATCCGGTGAATCACCAAGCCAATGACATGATGAGGTATGCCAGTAGTGGCAACATAAGAGCCCATGAGAGTAGCAAAGTCGAAATTCCCCTATATCGTATGAAAGATGAAGAGGAATTGGACATGCGCATGGCGAATAATGTCAGATCGCAGAAATTTGTCGGTAATGCAAAACAACAAAGGGCGCTGCAATACCAGCACCCCAATAACCAATACTACAACATGGTTCAAAACACCCAAAGTATGCAAAATCTCAACTTGAATCAATATCCGTATTATTACCCTACTTCCCCTACTTACAAATCGCCTCCAGTGGCCCCAAAACCCAAAAAACCGGATGAACCCCCAGAATTACCCCCAACAAGCACCCATCCTTTGTATTCAGCTAGCAGTCAAGACCCACCAAAAATGGCCTTTTATCCCACCTCAACCATCCCATCGACTAAGCCCCCACGTGATCCATGGGCAAGAGAGGAGCAGGAAAGACAAGCTGAAGCGAGAAGAGAAGCTTCGAGACAGTGGCAGGAGCAACAAATTCGGGAGTTGATGGCGTTGCCCCAAAGAACCCCCCAACAAGAGGAACAGTTGAGGGTGTTGCAACTCGAGAGGGAGTTCCAAAGGAGGGCTATGGAGGCTGCTGAGCAAGATGATGACGACACTGAGAAGGTAAATAAATACAGGGTGCGCCAGAACTCGCGCCCCAGCGAAAAGTGACATATAAAGTAAGATACCAGGCACATGGAAAAAATATTAAAAAAAGGACATTCGCAAAAACCGTTGGAAAACTATTAACTTATTCTCAAAATTGCAAACAAACCGGATGATGATTCTAGTTTTGAAAAAAAAAAAAACAATTCCCTAACTTAAAAAAAACAAGGACATTCAAAAAAACCTTTGGAAAACCATTAATTTATTCTCAAAATTGCAAACAAACCGGATGATGGTTCTAGTTTAAAAAAAAACAATTCCTTAACTTAAAAAATTATACAAGGACATTCGAAAAAACCGTTGGAAAACCATTAACTTATTCTCAAAATTGCAAACAAACCGGATGATGATTCTAGTTTTGAAAAAAAAAAAAACAATTCCTTAACTTAAAAAATTATACAAGGACATTCGAAAAAACCGTTGGAAAACCATTAACTTATTCTCAAAATTGCAAAAAAAATTGTAATTGTTAGATACTCCTCTTCAAATATGCAACTTCTTTATTATTTCCTTATTTTCGTTCTTTATTATTATTAAAAAAATATTATTACAAAAGTAAACTACAGAGTGACTCATATAAAACTACGCGCCTGACCAACTACAGATACAAAAATAGTCAGAAAAATAAAACTTTATTTAATCAATTCTTAGTCACTGTTGATAAATGATAATCTAACAGTTATTTTTTTAAATATGGCCCAGAACTCGAGCCCCAGAGAAAAATGCCATATAAAGTAAGATACCAGGAACATGGAAAAAATGTTAAAAAAAATATCTAAAGTTTGCACTTTGACTCTATTTATTTCTGTTGTAAAAATTATTTTTCAAGTTTTTTTGCTATAGGCTATTAAAAGAGGAAACAAGGAAGCTGTACCCTAAATTATCACTCTGTTCAATATTATTTGTGGCTTTTATTGGCAAAATTTTTGTCCCCTTACTAAATAATGTAAAAAAACATATACCGGGTGGGGCATCGGTTACGCGCAATTGATAAATCGCAACTTCAAATTAATTAAAACTAGCGATATTTCATATACCTAACTAATTATTGATAGGGTATAATTTGAGAATTTTTCTAATTTTTTTGAATAATAAATGAGTCCATAACAGTTTTGTGTGTTTTATGAATACTTTCTGTAAATTTACCTAAAAGTTTTTACACTAAATGAATTTGAACCTGTCAGCGCATCAAACTTTGATATCACAATTTTAAATTTTGACTTGGTTAGCCAAATAATCGCTTTTTTTATTTAAACACCAGACTCGTGATTTATGACAAAATGGTATAATTTGCCAACAAAAGAATCATTTACTGGTAGTCGACCGCTTTAAAGGGTCTTTTTGTTGTAAACCTTGGAATCTTACCCCAATTGCAGTTTCCCATTGCAACCTAAATTTACGATGGCACAAGTAGCAGGTCATAAATAAAAATGATTTTCAAAGTTAAGATGGAAAATTGCGTTTAATTCAAAATCTAATTGGTATTTTTTTTCTGATTTTGTAAAACAATCGTAGGAAGTAAATCTGCGTAGGTCAGTATAAAAATTAAAATTAAATTTTTTGAGAGAAAATTACTTTTACTTTTTTTTGACTTTATTTGATAATGAAAAATTACCAAAAAATTAGAGAATGTACCTTACTAATGCCCAGGTAAGTGTGAAAAAATTCAACAATTTTATTTAATTAGAAGTGGGGATTTTCTTTTTGGGCGTAACGGATGCCCCACCCGGTACAAGATCATCAGTATCATTAAATAGATATAAAAAAATGTCAAATGTCAAAAAATAAATGTCAAAATTTTTTGACAGATAGAATTTTTTAAACATTTTATTCATGTTTCTGGTATCTTACCTTACTTGAAAATTTTCTCTGGGGGCGCGAGTTCTCGCGCACCCTGTATTTTTGAGGGGTCCTCCACTCAATGAAAATTTCCAGGAGAGTCCCATGTCCCCACCGGCGAAACAGGAACCCCCAGCTTCGATCCTGAAACCGGGGGCTGTGACCACTCAAGCTCAGCCGCCGCCGGAACCAGTTGCGCCGCCCCCGCCTGAAAGGGGCTCAAGTTTTGCGGTAATGTCAATGCGAGCGAAAGAAAACACGAAAAGGGTGTCTTTCGACACAACTACAACGCCGCAGCCCCCACCTAGCACGTTGCAATTGGAGGCGGAGAGTGTCAGGGAGGACCCAAATGTAGGTTTTTTGGGGGGTTACTATTTTGCTCAATTTTTTACATTAACTAACAATAATTTCGTTAAAAAATACACTTTATGAACCAGAAAATCACACTTATACTTGTGACTTCATTTTGCGATTTGAAGAAATTAAAATCTTGATAAAGAGCAATTTTCGTTAAAAACAATTATTTAAACTTAACGAAAACAAGCTGAAATTGTTCGTTTTTAGCAATTTTTTAGAGATTTTTTTGGTTATTAAAAAAATTCTCAAAATTAACAGATCAAGCCAAAAAAATTATTTTTTTGATTTATTGCGATTTTTAGCATTAATTTTGGAAATAAAGACAATTTGCAAATCAGATAGTATGAGTTCTACCCATAATTTCTACAAAACATTTTTGAATCCGATAGAATTTCACCACGTTTCTAATTCTTTTCTAATAAAAGAAAAAGTATTCAATTGCAATTGTTAATTACCTATTTTATAAAATTTGAATATTGGGTTTTAAGGAGAGCAGTTTCTTTGAACAACATATAGAGTACGAATAATGATGGACAAAATGTTGTTATGTGCTGTCCAGGGACGTATTTAGTGCCTAATTATTTTTTAAGTTAATAAATTTTCTTAAAGTCTTCTAAATACTGCAAATCGTGATACTTTTGAACCAATTGAGCGAAAATTGCTTCAACACTACTTCAACAAAAAAAAAGACAAATAATTCAAAGTAAACAAAACAAGCCGAAATAACTCATTTAGAGCTGAAAAAATGTTATTTTTTGGCATTTGGATGATCTTTTTTAACTTTTTTGATAAATTTCTGTATGTTTCTCGAAGAAATAAGTGAAACAAAAAGCATTCCAGAAGAAATTTTGCAATTTTCAGTCTTTTGTAATATTTTTTTTGTTTTAACGAAATCTTACAGAAAAAGGGTCAAATCCATCAAAATAGACGAAAATAACGCGTTTCAGATCTAATTCATTTTCTGCTTTGTGTTAAAAAAAATCGAATTAGTTTCTCGATAAAAAAATATTCCGTTGAAACAACCAAAAATAGGTTCGCAAATTTCTGTTTTTCTAAGGCAAAATATTGTGAATTGTGCAACTTTCTCATGAAAAACTCTTCTAAAGTCATAGAAAATAATGAGTTTTAAACCAAATTTCTATCTAGTTTTTTGAATTCAGCAAGTTTATCGATGAAAAACGCCCCACATTTATCAAAACAGACGAAAATAATACATTTGAAGATCTAATTTTGCGCTTTTTTGGGCAAAATGTTTCAATTTTTGTGATTTTTTCATCAAATTCTGTATTCATAGAAAATTAAGCATTTTCAGCTTAATTTTGCATTTTTTTACTCTGTTAGATGAAATCTCTGGAAATCTAAATTCTTTGAAACAAAAATTTTGCAATTTCTTGTCTTGTTTTGATGATTTTTTTTTTAATTTAGTAGGTTTCACCAAAACAAGCGGAAATAATGCGTTCGAGGATCTATTTCAGCGTTTTTCTGTATTATTTTTTTTTAATCCGAATTTAGTAAGTTAAAAGTAAAAAATTTAAAAATTCGCTGAAAAAAACGACAATAATTTCGGAAATTTCTGTTTTGTTTAGGCAAAGTTTCTCACGAAAAACTTTTTAAAAACAAAAATAATGCATTTAAGACCTAATTTTATTACAGAGTTTCATTCGGCAAGCTGAGTCGATGTTGGCGTCTCCGACAACCCCCACGGATGCCTCTCCCGGCATGGCGGTGGCCACTCCGGGTGTCATTGGGGCCCAGGAAGTGTACAGAGATCCAAGAGCGCGACGTTTGGCCGAACAAGCGCAGCAGAAAAATCAAACTATGCCTCCTGTTCCCGAAAAATTGTCATTTAAAGAAAAGATGAAAATGTTTGCGATGGAAACGGGAGAACAGGAAACACCGAAAGACAAAAGTAAGATAAGTAGGGCACAGCGAGAAATTGATAATTTGGGATCACCAAGTTCGGGACTTGTTCACTAATATTTGTTACTTGTTGAATGTGTGATAGAGACAAAAAGAACCAAAACGACCAAATATACAAGATTGTTAGTGGAAATTTATATTACAATGTTGTCAGTCCTGCTAATTTATCTTGCATATCTAACTGTACCGTCCAACCTGCAGCTAATTATGCGTGTACAACGACTAATTGTATTGATTTTAAACGTAGTGGCTTATGACGTGATTCAATTACATGAAATGAGATGGTTTTTGTTTGATAGAGAACTTTATTCAAATATATATTGTATAATATTTTAGAGATCCTATTTTCGTCATTTTATATATAAATTATTTTCCTAGAGTTTAGATAACCATGATATTGTTAAAGCAATACTTGCACATAAGGACCAATGTTATACATACACACACACTTCATTTTCTCTACATTCCTTTTTCTTTACACTTGCAGCTTTCGGTTGTTACAAGCAATATCTATGTTCATTTACATCCAAATTTTATGACGTAGTGTATATAAAATATGTAAATTGACATCAAAAGTAGAAGTGGAATTCATTAGATTCTCTATTAGATTAATATAGACAAAATTATTGTTTTATTTCTTTATTTTATGTACTATGAATAAACAATATACATATTAAATATTCGGCTGGTTTTTATTCCCAATTTCCTAACGTCAAGCTGGAGACCCTTTCTCTGTCCTCGGCGAGTCGCTCATGGCTGTTGATTGGTTTAGTTGTCATGGAAACGTATCCGTAACTATGACAACGAGTCCTTCAAAATGAGAGTCGTCATGGTAACGAAACATAATCCAGTGGCGGGTACTTTTATTCAAGAAAACTACATTTTTGTGTTTTTTTTATTTACAAAATATTGCACATGGATAAATTATGTGTGTTTATTTAGTGGTTGATGTTATCAGAGGTGAGGGCGAGCGAGGTGAGTGCGCTTCTCCTATTGGGACTGACCCCTAGATTTTCCCAATTGATCCACGACAGTCGCGCCGTCAAATCTAAAATTGGTAAAATTAGACTGGTTTTTAAAAAAAATTGGTTAAATTACCACTGGTGTTCCAGTTGGCTCTGTCGGCTTTGATTTCTCCCCTCAAACACCTCTCTACGTAGGTCAAGGGGTCGCAATCGGCGGTTAAAACCTCCCTGAGGAGAGCTATGTAGGCAATGGCTAACCTCAAAGTATCGATTTTGCTTAGTCTTTTCTCGTAGGGAAAAGTCGGGACATGCATACGAAGCTCGTCGAATGCAGAGTTGATACTGCTGCAAACCGATATTAGTTAGGATTGTACTGTATTGCGAGAAAGAGAATAAAACTACGAACACGAAGAACGGAAAATAAATCAAAAATCACCTAAATACAGAACAAATAGCAAGCAAGCCACATATCAAGACGGGTGTACCCGGTGGGTCCAATAGCAGACCTCAGCATCCTTTTTCGTTCCCTGATGTTGGCGGCGTGGCGTTGGACTCGGTACGGGGAGGTGCCGTAATAGTCGGAGTTGGCGAGGGAGCTGCCTCCGCATTGGCCACTGTCTGAAACGGCCACGAAAACAATCACGAATCGAGCTTTTATACAGGTGTCCGGAAATTCGCGCACTTGTTTGAAAGGGTTTAATTGGGTACTGAAAAAATGTTAAAAAATTCTATCTGTCAAAAAATTTTGACATATATTTTTTGACATATTTTTATGTCTATTTAATGATACCATTGAATAAGTTACACTTATTAACAGTAACTTATACTGATGATCTTGTATATATTTTTCTTATACTTATTTTGTAAATGTACAAAAATTTTGCCAATAAAAAATAACATTAAACAGAGTTACAATTTATGATACAGCAGGAAAAAACTCGGAAAATAATTTTTCCAACAGAAATAAATAGTCAAAGATTACTTCGAAATTTTTATAGATAGACTAGCTGTTGCTCGCGGCTTCGCTCGCGTGGTAGTTTGACATCCACAACTATTTCAAAACGCAGAAGGGCTAAGAAACTTACTAACAAAATATAGCAACACAATTTATTATGAACTTCATAGTAAAAATAAAAAGTCCGTCTTTTATAACTTATTTAAAAACCGTAAAATTTTAAGCTGTGGCTCAATTACGCCGTTTATGCATAGATTTTCTTCGACCATATCAGGAAGGATAAACCACTACTAGAATAAAAATCTGTTGTTCAGTTGAAGGGATATAACTTCAAAAATGACAAATTTTTTTAATACAAACTTTTTTAATACATCCCCTGTTTCAAAAATCCTAAAACATGCGTTTCTTTATTTTTAAAATAGAAAGCCCCAATAACAATTTTTATGAATATAATATCAAAATGGACAAATTTTTATACAAATTTACTGCCCATGTTTAATCCTCTTGGGGGTGGAATTTCTAAAAATATTGAAACATATTTCTTTACAAATACTAAATTTCATGGATATTACTTAACAATGACAAATTTTGATACAAATTTTCATCCCATGTTTAACTATATACATATTTATACAAACTTTCATCCCCTATTTGACCCCCTTAGGGATAGAATTCTCCAAAATCTTGAAACACGTGCTATTTTGTTTTTAACTGAACACCCAAATACCAAATCTCATAGATTTAACTTAAAAAAAAACGGACATTTTACGAAGTTTTACCCTTGTTCAACCCCCTTGAGGGTGAAATTTCTAAAAATCCTGAAACACATATTACTTGATTTTTAATCGAAAGCCTAAATACATATTTTCAAGGATTTAACTTTATAAATGACATTTTAATATAAATTGTCATCCCTGTTTAACCCCCTTGAAGGTGGAATTTTCAAAAATCCTAAAACACGTGCTTCTTCATTTTTAACCGAAAGCCCAAATCCCAATTTTCATAAATATAACTTCAAAAATGACGAATTTATAAATATTTATACAAATTTTCATCCCTTGTTTGACCCCTTTGGGGATGAAATTTTCCAAAATCCTAAAACACGTGTTTTTTTGTTTTTAACTGAGAGCCCAAATACCAATTTTCATGGATTTAACTTAAAAAAAAATACAGATATTTTACGACCTTTTACCCTTGTTCAACCCCCTTGGGGGTGAGATTTCCAAAAATGGTAAAATACGTATTTTTTTATTTTTAACCGAAAGCCTAAATACCAATTTTCATGAATATAGCTTTAAAACTTCGAATTCACCACCCCATTTAACCCCCTTAGGGGTTGATTTTCTAAAAATCCTTTCTTATTGGATGCCTACGTTATAAAAGGTATCTACTGTGAAAATTTGAAATTTCTGTTTCCAGCGGTTTAGGGTTGATAGGTCAGCCAGGACAAGCCTCTTTATAGTATACAGGGTTATTCATAAATATGAAGCAATATTAGAATCTCAAAAATGACCTATAAAATGATGTTAATTTAAATAATAACTCGTGTCCTATCTCTACTGATAAGAATTTTACAGCCCTCGGAATGTGGGTATGGAAATTTGTTTTTTTTGTAGTAACTTTGAAACTATTTGACCAAATATTATAAAATTTGGAACATTTCCCTGTGACAACATACCCTTTAAACTGGTAATCACGAAAACCGAATACATCCACTCAATTTACGGTTCCAGTAGTTGCAGGTCACATTTTCTGTGTTTTTCCATTTTTTTGCTCTCTTAACACCAATTTTTTATTGCCCAAATCGATAGAGTAATCAATTTCGATTAAAAAACGCATTTAATACCCCTAAAATGGACCGTTTCAAAGATATTTTAATTTAAACTGAGGACTGCACAACGTTGAAACCAAAAAGTAGGGATTTTGAATGGATGATATCCACGGTAACAAATGACCATGGTCTCACTAATCGCTGTCAGGCATCTGTCAACTTTGACATTGGACGATTATTAGACAATTAATCGAAAATATTTAATAAAAGAGTTTACCTCAGATTCCAAACATAACTTAGAATAAATCCAAATGGATCTCGTAGCATTTAATTCATAAAAAATTCACAAAAATTTATTGTCAAAGTTAACAGATGCCTGGCAGGGATTTATGTGACCATGGTCATTGGTTGCCGTGGATACCACTTATTCAAAATCCCTATTTTTTTATTTCAGCGTTGTGCGGTCCTCAGTTTAAATTAAAATATCTTTGAAACAGTCCATTTTAGGGGTATTAAAGGTTATGCGTTTTTTAATCAAAATTGATTACTCTATCGATTTGGGCAATAGAAAATTGGTGTTAAGAGAGCAAAAAAATGAAAAAACACAGAAAATGTGACCTGCAACTGCTGAAACCGGAAATTGAATGGATGTATCCGGTTTCGTGATTACCAGTTTAAAGGGTATGTTGTCACAGGGAAATGTTCTAAATTTTATAATAATTGGTAAAATAGTTCCAAAGTTATTACAAAAAAATCAAATTTCCATACCCACATTCCGAGGGCTGTAAAATTCTTATCAGTAGAGATAGGACACGAGTTATTATTTAAATTAACATTATTTTATAGGTCATTTTTGAGGTTCAAATATTGCTTCATATTTATGAATAACCCTGTATATAGATTTTTTTAACATTTTTCTTGTTGTCTAGGGCATCGCCCGATGATACGTGTCTCGGAGGTGCGCGACTTTCCGGACACCTGTATTTTTAAAATTCTTATTTTTTTGTGTTGATTGAGCAAATTTTATTAAATCTTGCTTTATTTCGGTAATGTTTTCCAAACAAGAGAAAAAAATAACACAGTTAGGGCCTGATTTTGATACTACGAGAAACTAACAAAAGTTCGCTTAATTCGCCTTGATTTATTTTTTACTTTCCTTATCCTATAAGGAAAGTATTGTAATCTACCCTGATTTTTACATTTCTGGACGAATTATAGCTTCAAGACACCAAAAAAGTTTAGTTTGAGCCATTGGGTTGTGTGTGTGTCTGTCTGTCAACAGTATATCTCGGGAATGATAAGAGCTAGAAACTTGAAATTTGGTATGTAAGTTACTTGTAGCAAGGGGACGTAGCATGAAACAATTGGTAAAAATCGGTCGATCGTTCGGCCGTAAAGACCAAAAGTCGGCCGTAAAGCGGCCGCAAAATTATACAGGGTGAATATAAAGTATGGAACCAAGCGGTTTTATTTTTAATCATTTGCCTCCAGAAAATAATAATTAATATAAATTAGAGTAACATAAAAAATGTGATCTTATTTTCAGAACGAAATTTTGTTTTGTTTTTGAGTTACGCAATTTTTTTGTCAAAATTGCAATTTATGTGAAAAAATTAAAAAAAAAATAAATATAAAGCAGATAGTTGTAATCCTTAGAGTATAGCTTTTATGAGAAAAATGATTTTATAGTGGGTTGCCATTTAAAAAAATCAAATTTTTTGTAGAACTCAAAAACAATAGGAAATTTCGAAAAATTTTATTCTTGTTAAATCATCACATTTTTATAGTACTTTATCACTCATCAATTAGTTTTTTCAAAAAATAAATAGTTTAAGCAAAAAACGTTTAGTTCCATACTTTTTATTCACCTGGTATGGTTGAAGATACAATAAATTCATGAGAATACAAATTATTTAGAATCATGAAATATACTCGTACCTTATTAAACAGTAATAATAATAAGTTTGATCTATTTCGCGTGAAATCCGGCAGGTGGCACTAACGCAAATGTTACACTAAATTATTGTCGTTATTAGGATGTTTTCCAAATAAGTAGGATAAGGAAAGTCGTGTGATGTTTACACCAGATTTTTTTTGACAGATTAATAGTGCCGTTCGATTTGTCATCGTTTTTTAAACTTGTATGCAATTTTTTAAACCAAAATCTTAAAATGGAGACTAGAAAGCGAAAAAAAATCTGGCCTTTCCCATAAATTGAGAAAAACCTACGGGGAAGGGTTTTTCATTTAAATCAGGACATTATAAAAGCGGTAAATGTGGAATTACAAAAGCTCAAAAAATCAGATTTTGAGGAGTGTTTTGAAATAAGACTTCAAAAATGTATGACATAAATGGTGATTACTGATTATGTAGAGAAGTCACATAATGTTTCAGTTTAAGATTTTTAAGAATAAATTGTGTTTTCTCTTTTGTAAACAATAAATTAACCGAATTTTTGTTAATCCTCTCGTATCTCTATCATTTTAAGTGAATGAAAAATTAACTAAACTGAACAGTGATGAAAAAGTATGTTTTTCCGCAAACGTCACAAAAGTGGCCACTTTTATGACTAAATAATGTCAAAAGGAAAGGTTCTACTTTTGAAAATGTTGAAAAGGAAATTTAAAAAAAAAATACCTAAATTTAACAAAACAAGCTGTAATAGTTCAATTATAGCATGCTTTTATGATTTTTTTACATTTACATATTCAAAATTAGGACACTTTTAACTGAAAATAGTTCAAGCCGAAAAAATACATTTTTTTGATTTAAGGATGCATTGCGATTTTTAATAAACGAAAAAAAATTGTTACATATCTTTAATCCAAAAAAAATTACAATTGTTTAATACCTATTTTTTATAATACTACTTTATAAAATTTGAAAATTGGGTTTAATGGAGAGCAATTATTTTGAGAAAATACAGAGTATGGATAATGACTGATAAAATATTGTTATGTCGTGTTCAGGGACGTATTTAGTGCCTAGTTTATTTTTTTAGTTAATAAATTTTCTTAAATTCTGTTTTTTATATCTTAAAAAAATTGTTAAGTGTTAGTAAAAAATTCATTGTACAAGACTAGTCCTGATTTTATGTTTCGTTTACGTTTTATTAATGATCAAATTTAATATTCTCTTTAGTAGTAATTTTTTATTTGTTTATAATTTTTCACTTTAGAAAAAAATTAAAAATATAAAATATAAGTAGGAAAGCAATTAAATAAACACATTATGTCTCATCAAAATTGAAAAAAAACTGCGCACACCAAATTTTGATAAACTGGAAACTGAGAAACCGTAAAACTTGCTTTACAGGGTGCGCCAGAACTCGCGCCCCATAGAAAAATGCCATATAAGGTAATTGATATCTTAAAAATTTCGGAGTGTTTAAATTTTGAACTTTGACTCTATTTATTTCTGTTGAAAAAATAATTTTCGAAGTTTTTTTGCTATAGGCTATTAGACGAGGAAACAAGGGAGCTGTATCCTAAATTGTAACTCTGTTTAATGTTATTTGTGGCTTTCATTGGCAAAATTTTTGTACTTTTACTAAATAATTGTAAAAAAACATATACAAGATCATCAGTATCATTAAATAGACATAAAAAAATGTCAAATGTCAAAATATAAATGTCAAAATTTTTTGACAAGGAGAATTTTTTAAACATTTTTTCCATGTTCCTGGTATATCTTACTTAAAAATTTTCTCTGGGGCTCTCTGCATTATTATGCTTTAGAAGAGAAAATATATTTGTAAAATTTACAAAATCAAAATTCAAACATAAAAATGTAAAGCAAAATCAACAAAACAAACCACAATAATACATATTTTATAGCCTGAAAAGTGAGATTTTCACTGAAAAAAGTGCTAGACTGAACAAAAAATTGAAAAAGCATATTACTTGAATTTATTAACAATCATTTAAGGTAAACAACAATTTCGTTAAAAAACAAACCTTTTGAATTTTTGATGGAACTTCTCGTATTATTTTAACCTTTCCTACATGATTTCAAAGTTTTAAAAAAATATTATTGAAAATATGCAAAATGAACAAAACAAAAATTAAAATCGTACTACTTAAAAAAATAAATAACAAACGCAAGGAACCTTTTTTAATAAAAACTTCTCCTCAGTATAATTTTTATCGAAACTTGCCACTTATTTTATATAAAAATCGAAGGATTTTTCATAGATTTCGTAAGCTATTGTAATTTTAAATACAATAGCTAAAAACATAATTTCCGTTACTTAAATTCGTAATAAAAACTGACTAGGAAAAAAGGTCGAAAGTACCAACCTGGGTTGTGATGTAAGGTTGATAAATAATGGTGTTGTAAATTAGAACTGGAAGTTTGTCGAGTAGCAAAAGCACAACTCGGAAGTTCTGAAACTTCCTCTTCTGAAAGTTCCCCAGCACTGTACCCACCAAACTGCATACTAGACAACAAAACACAACATTTTTCCCGTTTTTCAACCAAAAATTTTCGATTTAAAAAAAAAAACACTTACTTAATGGGGGGTGAAGAGGAAGAATCCGGTAACTGCCCCCGATTACCACTCATTATCTCCCTACTTAATACAATTAATTTCTTAACCGAATTACGTGCACCGAATGCCGCCAAATCCCCAGGGATTCGCAATTTATAACACGATTATTTTACCCAAATATCGCACCCCGGGGGAATATAAGCTCAAAGCAGTGCGCTTTAGGGGAGAAATTGCAAAACCCCAGATATAACAACACTTGATTTCAAACGATTTTCACTCTTCTGGGTGTGTATTTGGGGGGCATTATTGCACCCCGAATTTAGTATTGATCAAGGGGTGTGGTACCCCTAAAGTGGCCAATGACAAGCGAGAAATTGATTACTTTGTTTGTGATTGGTGGAAATGTTCTGAAAGGGGCTGGAGTGCTTTGACAAGGCTAAATGGGGCTCTGTTTTTGACGTTTCCTTTTATTGGGCCATGAAGACCTGTCGTTGCCAGAATCCCGAGTTTTTGCTTGATCTCAAAATTAACATCTCCTTGGATAAAAAATTACAAAAATCGTTTTTTCGACATTAATTTATTTCGAAATATTAAATATTATGTTGAAAAACCAAGTAAAAATATGCATGTTAGATATAATTTTGCATTTTTTTGTCTGATTTTTGTTATGGCAAAATTTTTCGAATGTTGTGAGTTTTTAGGTAAAAAACATTCTAAATCTCTTAAAAGAAGGAGAAATAACGCATTACAAGATTTAATTTTGTAATTGAAAAATTTCTTCAAGTTTCGCTATTTTCTTAGTGAAAAGTGAACAAAACTTGTCGAAATAAGCGAAAATAAGGCATTTTAGACATATTTATGTTATTTTCCACTTTGCGTTGGAAAAATTTGAATAGTTTTGACCGATTATTTTTTCTTCTTCTTGGATCTTCTTGGTATGGAAACGATGAACAAAAACACGATTAGCCCGTCACACCAAACTTTTATTTTAATAGCACAACGCGTTTCGACCACAAAGTGGTCATCCTCAGGTGAGAATAAAAGTTTTATTCTCACCTCCTCAGGTGAGAATAAAAGTTTTATTCTCACCTGAGGATGACCACTTTGTCGTGTTTTTGTTCATCGATAATTTTTTTGAAAAATAATTACAATAATATAATTTTCAAAATGCGGTTTTCTCTAAAACTTTGGACTTTACTGCAAAAGTAAAAATACTGTAAAAATCTGCATTAAATGTTCTATCGAATTGAGAAAATCTGAAGTCAATGGGGGCTATAGTTTATGCAACAATTTTTTTTTATCGATAAAAAACGCTCGAAAGAGAATAACAGACTAAAATAAAGCACTCCCAGATCTAATTTTGCAATTTTTGCATTGTTTTAGTATTTAGTAGTTTATTAGTAGAAAATCTATCGATTTTTTACATCCTGACTAATTTCTAGTGAATTATAAAATATTTATTTGTTATTTGAAATCCAAATCTTGGACTTCTTTGTGTAAATAAAATTGTGATTTCTTTTATGTGGTTTATAATGACTTGTCCGTGCCAGAATTTAGAGTTTTTGTCTAACATAAAACCTGTTTCTTGAAAAAAAAATTTCAAAAATTGTTTTTTTTAGAAAT